TGGGGTTGATTCGGGGTTGATTTATGGTTGATTCGGGGTTGGCCAACCTGTAGGTCGATTCGGGGTTGATTCGGGGTTAATTCGGGGTTAATTCGGGTCGTTTCGAGGTCGATTGAGAGTTGATTCGGGATCGATTAGGGGTTGATTTGGCGTTGGTCAACCTGCAGGTCGATTCGGGGTTGATTCGGGGTTGATTCGGGGTTGATTCGGGGTTGATTCGGGGTTGGCCAACCTGCAGGTCGATTCGGGGTTGATTCGGGGTTGATTCGGGGTTGATTCGGGGTTGATTCGGGGTTGGCCAACCTGCAGGTCGATTCGGGGTTGATTCGGGGTTGATTTGGGGTTGATTCGGGGTTGATTTGGCGTTCGTCAACCTGTAGGTCGATTCGGGGTTGATTCAGGGTTGATTCGGGGTTGATTCGGGGTTGGCCAACCTGCAGGTCGATTCGGGGTTGATTCGGGGTTGATTTGGCGTTGATTCGGGATTGATTCGGGGTTGTTTTGGCGTTGGTCAACCTGTAGGTCGATTCGGGGTTGATTCAGGGTTGATTCAGGGTTGATTCGGGGTTGGCCAACCTGCAGGTCGATTCGGGGTTGATTCAGGGTTGATTCGGGGTTGATTCGGGGTTGGCCAACCTGCAGGTCGATTCGGGGTTGATTCGGGGTTGATTTGGGGTTGATTCGGGGTTGATTCGGGATTGATTCGGGGTTGATTCAGGGTTGATTCGGGATCAAGAGTAAAATCGAGAACAATTAATTGAGCAAGACATGCAATTTCCCTCAATTTCCGTTCGATGTTCAGGTCAAAATGATGACAGGATTCGATGATCGACACAAAAGTTTATAGAAAGGACAGCAACTAGGTTGGCCAAACTGCAGGTTGATTCGGGGGTTGATTCGGCGTCCGCCTACAAGCCAGCGGCAAAATAGCGGATCGGACATCTGTGGAAATCAGCAAATATGGCAGGAAATTAATCAGTCAATTTGTTTCTGTCATTTTTCATATTCAAAGCATCAATTAAAAACATAGATAGAAAGTTATCAGCAAAAAAAAATTTTCCACTTTGAATCGGCGTCGATTTTTCGCCTTTAACCACTCGTTCATTTTACCATTTTTCATTAAAAATACTCAAATTTCCTCCAATTCTTTTCTTATGCATTTTAGAGTAATTTGCGAAATTTCTTCAGCTTTTTCTCTTTTCCATTTTTTTTTCGTTTCTCCGCTCGTAAAAATTATCGATATTTTGGTTTTTTGTTGAGTCATGTTATTATTATTTCTTTATTTCTTTTAGAAAATACGTTTATTTCATAAAAATCTTTCAATTTCCCCAATTTTCATCGAAATCTCCCCATCGAATTCCTAGAAAAACTTAAAAAAACTTAAACTAGAAAAACTTAAACTTAAAAAAACTTAAACTAGAAAAACTGTAAATTTTTAAACGCTAGCACGCGGGAATTCCATTAGAAAAATGATGTAAAATCGACTTTTTTTTGCTCATAGAAGTCCTATAGGAGCATTGCGTAGTCTAACAAGAGCCTGTAAGTCATCTGTATCTGATATCATGGTGTCTCCATGCTTACTCCCAAACAAACGCTCATATCTTGACACCAGTACGTTTGTTTCTGCACAATTTGGTATCAAATTAAACTAGAGAAAATGGGTGTTTTTTTGAGATATAAAACAGATTTTTAGCATTAACCAGTGCTTAGAAAGAATGATTGAAAAATGATGTAAAATCGGATTTTTTTTGCCACTTTTCAATAACTTTTTTCTAAGCGCTGGTTAAGGCTAAAAATATGTGAAATATCTCAAAAGATACCCCCATTTTCTCTACTTTAATTTGACCCCAAAGCGCCCAAAAACAAACGTACTAGTGTCAAGATATGAGCATTTGTTTGAGTGTAAACTTAGACAACGCGACGCTCCTATGGGGGCGGGGTTCTAGACATAATATAATACATTAAATACTTTAATATACTACATTAAACACCTTAGTATAATACATTAAATAGAAGTCCTATAGGAGCATTGCGTAGTCTAACAAGAGCCTGTAAGTCATCTGTATCTGATATCATGGTGTCTCTATGCTTACTCTCAAACAAACGCTCATATCTTGACACCAGTACGTTTGTTTCTGCACGATTTGGTATCAAATTAAACTAGAGAAAATGGGTGTTTTTTTGAGATATAAAACAAATTTTTAGCTTTAACCAGTGCTTAGAAAAAATGATTGAAAAATAATGTAAAATCGGTTTTTTTTTTGCCACTTTTCAATCACTTTTTTCTAAGCGCTGGTTAAGGCTAAAAATAAGTTAAATATCTCAAAAGATGCCCCTATTTCTCTACTTTAAATTGACCCCAAATCGTGCAGGAACAAACGTACTGGTGTCAAGATATGAGCGTTTATTCGCGAGTAAACTTAGACTACGCGACGCTTCACTTCTATTCGTGTAGTTACGGTCCGTAATCGTTCCAATATCATCTCTAGTCGAAATTTCTTCATTTGAATCCCATTAGCAAACAATTCCTTAATTCCATAGTACATTAGCTCCATTGTTCTTAAATGAAATTACTTTCTGAATTGAGTGCACTAGAAAGTTGGCGATTACAATTTAACAGCATAAAGTACAGCTTTTCAACGCCAATATTCGTTTTTTCTTCGAAAATTTTTCTATTTTCGGTTTATTTGCCAAAGATTTTCACTTTTTGCTCAAAAAAAAGGCACTTTTATATTTTTATCAATGAAAAGTTTTGATTTTATTATCTCTAATCGTTTTTTTTTTTCTTTTAGAGCTAAAAGTCATGAAAATGAAAATTGAAAATAATTCTATATAGTTGAAGAAATTTTTGGGGGAAATTTGTGATTGGGATTTGTTTAAAAGTTGACTTTTTTTCTACAGTACTCATGACGGTTACGGTGACGTCTATAAGCAAGAAAAAGCCACCGTAACCTTTGAAAGTCATAAAATTTCGGAATTTCCCTTTTACAGTACGATTACAGTACGAGCTACAGTATGATCTGCAGTCCGTTTACAGTACGATTACAGTACGATCTAGAGTACGATTATAGTATGATCTACAGTACGATCTACAGTACGAGCTACAGTACGAGCTACAGTACGATCTATAGTACGATCTACAGTACGATCTACAGTACGAGCTACAGTACGATCTATAGTACAATTACAGCACGATCTACAGTACGATCCACAGTACGATCCACAGTGCGATCCACAGTACGATCTATAGTACGATCTACAGCACGATCTACAGTATGATCTACAGTACGATTACAGTACGATCTATAGTACGATCTACAGTACGATCTATAGTACGGACAGTACGAGCTACAGTACAAGCTACAGCACGATCTATAGTACGATTACAGTGCGATCTACAGTACGATCTACAATACGATCTAAAGTACGATCTATAGTACGATTACAGTACGATCTACAGTACGATTGCAATACGATCTACAGTACGATCTACAGTACGATCTACAGTACGATCTACAGTACGATCACAGTACGATTGCAACACGATCTGCAGTACGATCTGCAGTACGATCTACAGTACGATCTACAGTACGATCTACAGTACGATCTACAATACGATCTACAGTATCGTCTTGCTAGAAAGTGCTATTGTACTTTGCTCGGCATTTATTCTTGAAAAGTTGCCCCTTTTCTACAGTAAACCTGTTGATTACGATAGCTTTTTCTAAGGAAGCAAACTACCGTCAATTGGTGATTGGGGTTTGTCTAAAAGTTGACTTTTTTCTTCAGTACACATGACGGTTACGGTGACTTCTATAAGCAAGAATATGGTGCTTTTATAAGCAAGAATATGGTGCTTTTATAAACAAGAATATGGTGACTTCTATAAGCAAGAAAAAGCCACCGTAACCTTTGAAAGCCATAAAAGCCAAATTTCGGAATTTCCATTCATCCAATTCAATATAATTACTTTTTCCTTACAAATCATATGCTTATTCTTTTGATTTCATCTTTTTGTTTTCTTCAAAAATTGAACAAAATCTCATTGATTATGTATTAACGCCCGAAAAAAAATGACTTTTCAACGAAATTCCCTTTTTTTTTTGACAGACAAAAAAGAAATATAGATTTTTTGTGAGAAAAATATGTGGAATATGAATTTTTAATGAAATGAAATGAGAAATATGGATTTTTAATGAAATTTAATGTATTTTTTTACGCTTAAAAAGGCTTAAACAGTTAAGCTCTGATGCAATGAAAAAACTTGAATACTTTTCACTGATTTTCGCTCCATTCGATCAATCATTTTTACCATTTCACCTTGTGCATTTTGGGCTTACGTGTGGAATATGAATTAAAAAATATTCCACATGTAAACGCTGGTGAACTGTCTTTTTTTTTCTTTCTTTTTTCTTAAGAGAAGAAAGAAAGAAGAGAAGAAAGAAAGAAAGAGAAAAAGTGAAGAAAGTGCACTAGAAATTGGTGTATTTTAAGCACACCATTTGCACAATTGTCAAGCACAATTGCCAAGCACAATTGCCAAGCACAATTGTCAAGCACAATTGTCAAGCACAATTGTCAAGCACAATTGCCATTGCTTGAATTGCTTGAATTGCTTGAATTGCCAAGCACAATGGCAATTCAGGCAATTCAAGCAATTCAGACAATTCAAGCAATTCAGGCAATTCAAGCAATTCAGGCAATTCAAGCAATTCAGGCAATTCAAGTCCCAAATGTCACTTGTTTACAGATTCAAATTCTCAAAAATCTTCTTCCTTTTAAATCCAATGAATATAATTATCGAAAATGTAAATGTTAGCGTTTTGGAGTGAAAAAGAAAGAAGAAAGAAAGAAAGAAAGAAAAAGAAAATGAAAGAAAATGAAAAGAAAAACGAAATTGAATTTATTCAAAAAAAGACTTTTTTGGTTTCCTTCTATTTCAAATAGAATCTTTTCTTTAAATTTAAAATCTAAAAAATTACGTGATTTTCCAGGAGACAATGGTTGACGATGAGCAGACAGAAAGCAGTTCGACACATGGAAACGAGATTGCAGATGGAGAAGAGGTGAGTGATTTGGTTAGAGAGGCGCCGAATTTCAAGAAAACTATCTATAATCTAGAAAACTATCTAGAAAACTATCATCCAGTAGCCTTTATCAAATGGCACGCTGGTAGAGTTAACTCCCTCTAGGAGAGAATCCCTTAATTCCACCTTTAACCGCCATTTCAGACTTCCCAACCCAAGGTTTTCGATAAACGGATTGTTCTCCTATGTGTACTTTGTGCTTTTGTGTAAACGCACTTCTCTGGTGCACTGGATTCTTTAAAGATATCGTTTTTTTTTGACGATTTCAGTGCACCTGGAGATGCTTACAAACGAGCACAAAGAACATACCCTATCCAGCACACATTTGCTCAGTAATCTATTGGGTTGGGGAGAATGAGTCGGCGCCAAACTTTAAAGGGACTTTTTGCACACATAAAGCCTTCTTTAAACATACGTTTGGTTTCATCAAAAGGATCCACTATTTCTCTACAAAATCACTTTTGAGAGATTCCACAAAGCCTTTCTTTCGTGGAGTTTATGAACTTCGAAACGCAGCTGGTTAAAATGGCAAAGAGTCCGACTCATCATTTGAACAGTTTCTTTCACATAAACCTTCTTTGGTGTTTATATAAAAAAGATAGAGCACATTCAATTACTTAAGTTGCCAAATTTGCAGGAAGATCCCACGAATGGTTTTTTCTAGATCACAGTTTGTAGTTTTTGTGAAAAAATGGCTTTTTCTTGAGCGGAGGCGCTGTTTGAATTTTCTTTTAAATGTCATTTTGTAGAGAATTAGTTAACCATTCTACTCATATCAAACGCATATTATTTGACGAAGTCTGCCAGAAGTTTTAGACATTTTTTTGATTTTCGGCGCCGACTCATTCTCCCCAACCCAATACTTAATAAATAGCTTAATCCATTGATTTAGACTAATTTCTACATAGCTATTTAGAAAAATTCGAATTTTAGATCAATTTTAGATCAATCAGTTCTATTCTAACATTTTAGAATCAATCAATGGACTTCAGTGTGCCCGAAGCCTCAACTCCCGAATCTTTAGCAGAAGAGGTGGCTGTATTGACGAAAAAGTGCAATTTTCTCTCACATCAGGTAGCGTTTCCAAAAATTTACAGTACTACAAGAATCTAGGCATAATATAGTACATTAAATACTTTAATAGAAGTCCTATAGGAGCATTGCGTAGTCTAACAAGAGCCTGTAAGTCATCTGTATCTGGTATCATGGTGTCTCCATGCTTACTCTCAAACAAACGCTCATATCTTGACACCAGTACGTTTGTTTCTGCACGATTTGGTATCAAATTAAACTAGAGAAAATGGGTGTTTTTTTGAGATAGAAAACAAATTTTTAGCTTTAACCAGTGCTTAGAAAAAATGATTGAAAAATAATGTAAAATCGGTTTTTTTTTGCCACTTTTCAATCACTTTTTTCTAAGCGCTGGTTAAGGCTAAAAATAAGTTAAATATCTCAAAAGATGCCCCTATTTCTCTACTTTAAATTGACCCCAAATTGCAAAGAAAAAAAACGTACTGGTGTCAAGATATGAGCGTTTGTTTGCGAGTAAACTTCGACTCCGCGACGCTTCGCTTCTATTCGAGTATTTATGGTCTAAAAATTACCGTAATCGTTCCAATTTCATCTCTAGCCGGAGTTTCTTGACTTGTTAACTCTTGTTTATCTAAAGCTTGTCTAATGTTTGTCTAAAGTTTATCTAAAGTTTATCTAAAGTCAACCCTTGTTTATCAAAATCTAAACATTTTAAAGACTCTAGAATTCTTTAAATAATAAATATAAACTAAAAAAAGCATAATAACATTAAAAACTAGATAAAAATCTAGAAAAAGCATAGATTTTAAGCTTTTTGAAGACTTTGGGGTAGTGTGGGGAAAGAAAAAGAATTCAGAAGTTGGGAAATTGATCAAAATGTGCTTGTATTGGAAGGATTACGGTAATGTCTAAATCTACAGTAAACGAGAAATGTTTAGTCGATTAAAAGGACTACAGTATTCACAGCTATTTAATAGATATTCAGTTATAATTCTCTTTTTTTAGTTGAACATGATCATGAGCACGATGAAAGTACCGCCTTGTTTATGTGCTTCTTGTGAGGAACAATTCAAAGAGCAACGCGCAGAAGAGAATAAAACGATTAAGGTTTGCATAAGAAGATAAGCGAAATCAAGATTTAAGCTAGAAATTTAGATATAGAAGTTAAAAATTTGCATTTATATGACTCTGATCAACTTTTGAAAGCTCTTGGAAGCTCTTCAAAGCTCTTGAAAGCTTTTGAAAGCTCTTCAAAGCTCTTGAAAGCTTTTGAAAGCTCTTCAAAGCTCTAGACAAGCTTCAACAGCTCTCGACAAGCTTTAAAAGCTCTCAACAAGCTTCAACAGCTCTTGACAAGCTTCAAAAGCTCTCGACAAGCTTCAAAGCTCTAGACAAGCTTCAACAGCTCTCGACAAGCTTTAAAAGCTCTTGACAAGCTTCAAAAGCTCTCGACAAGCTTCAAAAGCTCTCAACAAGCTTCAACAGCTCTTGACAAGCTTCAAAAGCTCTCGACAAGCTTCAACAGCTCTTGACAAGCTTCAAAAGCTTCAAAAGCTCGAAATGCTTAAAAAGATGTCTTTAAAATTTAGCAAAAGCAAATTTAGACCTACTGAATACCCTTTTAGAGATAATTTACAGTAAATCTGACTCACGATAACTCTAGAAAATGATCTCTCAACAGCAACAACACTTCAAGGGCCCGGCCACCCCGTTGAGGACCCCATTGATGCCGTTTGGATTCCATCTGCCAACTCCTGCAGCTCCATCTCATCATCAAACACCCAGCACACCAAAAACACCAAATATTGACGATCCTACGGTAATTGGAGCTGACTTTTCTTATTTTCTTAAAAATTTCCTTTTTAGGCAACCCTCACCGAGAACGAGGCGCAATTTATTCAGCAACTGATGGCGACGGAGAATGCTCATATCGGAGGACAAGCTGGTGAGTGGAAGCTCTTTTATTTCTCGAGTTGGGAACAAGAGTTAGAACAGAGTTAAAGAGAGTTGAAAAACTTGGTTCCAGCTGGGATTTGAACCCAAGCTTTAAGCCAAAAAAGAACTTGCAACAAGAGTTACCAGTTAGGCCAGGTTGGACCAGGATTTGGGTTTGAATCTGGTTTGAATCTGGGAGCCTGGAGACTGGCAGAAGTCAAGCCAAGAGTTAACCCTGGAATTTGCGAAACGGGCTTGAAAACTGCCGTAATCCTGGCTTGAAAACTACCGTAATCCTGTCTTGAAAACTATCGTAATCCTAGCTTGAAAACTGCCGTAATTTTGGCTTGGAAACGACGATAATTTTGGCCTGAAAACTACCGTAATCTTGGCTTGAAAACTACCGTAATCTTGGCTTGCTGAACAAGGCCAGTCCATGGCCAAGTCTATGAGTGGCGCTAGCTGGCATGGACGTGGCTTTGGCTTTGGACAAGCTCGGATCTTGGACCAGACCAATGCTAGGTCAAAAGTCAGGTTCTGACCTAGCTTCTAGCCTGATTTAGCTTTATTACAAGCCCCATAAAGCTTCTAGAAGCTAGAAGCAGCTAGAAGCAAAGCAGCAGGTCTGGCCTGGCTCTGAATATGACCTGGATTCAGGCCAGAGCCAGAGCTTCAGACCAGAGCCAAGTCAGAAGTCAGATCTTTCTTGGTTCCTTTACTGTAATTTCCATTCCTAGGCACTTTCTTCATAAAATTTGTGCAAAAGAGAATTCCAGGTCGTCGCTCCAAGTACTGTAATCCCGAGGAGAAGAAAGCCGTCGCCGAGTACGCACAGGTGAGATCTTTAACAGTAATAGACGAGTAAATGAAGTAAGAATCGAGATCTAATCTTCAATCTCCAATATTCAATCATGTACATAATCCAAATCCGAATCAAAACTTGGATCTTTGCTTTTAGGTTCACGGAGCCGCCGCCGCAGCTCGCCGCTTCGGGATCCCGGCTCCAGTTGCTTCGTATTATCACAGAAAAGCCTCACAAAAAGCACATCAATGTAAGTGAAGAAAGAAATATGGAAGACAAGCTGAAAACTAGCTGAAAACAAGCTGAAAGCTCAGCTAAAACCCAGCTGAAAAGCCAGCCAAAAAAACCAGCTGAAAAACTCGCCATTTAACAATTTTCTTTAGCTCAACAACAAGTAATGTTGGCCGCGGCTGCAGCCGCCGGTGTCTCACCATCTCTTTTCTTGGGCGCAGGACCTCCAGTGCTCACCCCGTCAACACCAAACGAAGAAACAACTCCACAAAATACCCCATCGAACACACAACCCTCGACTCCGCAACCGAATCAGTGTGAAATGGTTTGTGATTTTAAAGTTACAGTAGTTACAAAACAAACCCGTAGTCTGGGTCGAATAGGAAGTGAAATAAGAGTACTATAACTATCGTAATCTTGGGTTAATCGTAAGCCTAGAATGAGTTAGAACTACCGCAGTCTAGGCTTTAAAAGTTACAGTACTTTTGGCTTGACGTAGGGCTACTATAACTACCGTAATCTTGGCTTGAGAACTACGGTAATCTTGGCTTGAAAGCTACTGTAATCTTGGCTTGAGAACTACCGTAACTTTTAGATGAATTTGGGAACTTATTAGCCCACCTTGGAGAGAAGATTCGCAGCTTTCAAATGATATAGAATAAGCATAGGCATAGCATAGCATATCCACATTTTCCTACTCTTAGAAATTCACCATAGTCTAACTTAGATATATAACTCCAATCTATTCCAGGCCTTCAAAATGAACGCCATGCCCGGCTTCCAGCAACCACCGCCCACAAGCAGTGGGATGTTCGTGCGCGGACGAGGAAGAGGACGACCAAAGTTGATCGGAGATGAGCTCGATATGCATCTTGTTGAGTATATGGTAAAGGTGAGTACAGTAAATGATTAAGAATGGAGATTTAAAGTAGCAGAGATGCTTCAATGGTACTGGGGTCAACAGTCTTAAGATCCTAGGGCCAACAGAGGTCAAAGCCAGCTCCGAACTAGGCAAGATCAGAGCCAGCTCCGGACTAGGCAAGGTCAGAGCCAGCTCCGGACTAGGCAAGGTCAGAGCCAGCTTCGGACTAGGCAAGGTCAGAGCCAGCTTCGGACTAGGCAAGGTCAGAGCCAACTTCGGACTAGGCAGGGTCAGAGCCAGCTCCGAACTAGGCAAGGTCAGAGCCGGCTCCAGACTAGGCAAGATCAGAGCCAGCTCCGGACTAGGCAAGGTCAGAGCCAGCTTCGGACTAGGCAAGGTCAGAGCCAACTTCGGACTAGGCAGGGTCAGAGCCAGCTTCGGACTAGGCAAGGTCAGAGCCAACTTCGGACTAGGCAGGGTCAGAGCCAGCTCCGAACTAGGCAAGGTCAGAGCCGGCTCCGGATTTGGCTTCTGCCAGGTTTAGGGATCGTTGGAAGCTAGCTGCAGGCTAAGTCGGGTCAGGCAGCCAGCCCAGACAGCCCAGGCAAGTCCAGAACTGAACCTGGTCTTGCCTAGCCTCGCCTTGGTTGGAGAATACTTTTAGCTTATCTACTAATAGATAGAGTAGCTTATCTACTAATGGGGAAAATGAATCTAATCAAAATTGCTTCTTTAGCTGAAAAAAACCGACCCATCTCAACATTTGACTGCTTCAAAAGCGTTAGACATTGCCAGAGATTACATTGTCGCTAAACAACCGGGATTATTGGAGGAACACGGTGGACAGGTTTGTCAAAAACGAAAAGATTTAAGAGAATCTAGTCTGAAGTAAGAATTTGTTTTCTAGGTGAAATTGAAAATCACTTGGGCCATGAAATTGGTGCAACGAGTGGCCGAAAGGGAACGCGAGATCGAGATGGGACTTCCGCCGGGCACTCTGCAAAATCTCGGTCGACTTGTTCAACAGATGCCAAATGGGGCGATCAATGTGAGTATTGGATTTGGATATTGTCTGTCTGGATATGGATCTTGACTGTCTGGATATTGTCTTTACAATTTGTCTGCAAGAACAAGGCGTCTAAAGTTCCAGCTATGAAATCCTATCTAGCTAGGAAACAAATCACAAGTCTCAGTCCCCTTTTGAGATATTTTTATGTTTAATATACCAAAAGATAGCCCTTAATGCCTTCTATCTTTTGATATATTAGACTTAAAAATATCTCTAAATGGAGCCGAGAACGAAGCGTCTGAAGTTGGTCGAGAACTCGAGGTTGAGGTCGAGGTTCAGCTCAACTTTAGACGTCTCGTTCTCAGTTCCATTTTGAGATAATTGTAAGTTTAATGTATCAAACGATAGCAGACATTAAGGACTATCTTTTCGTATATTAAACATATAAATATTTCAAAATGGAACTGAGAACGAGGCGTCTAAAATTGGTCGAGGGGGTCCTCTAATAAATGCCCCCTCGACCAACTTTAGACGTCTCGTTCTCAGCTCCAATTTGCGATATTTTTTATGTTTAATATATCAAAAGATAGCCCTTAATGCCTTCTATCTTTTGGTTTATTAAACATATAAATATCTCAAAAGGGAGCTGAGAACGAGACGTCTAAAGTTGTTCTCAACCTCGACCTCGACCTCGAGTCCTCGACCAACTTTAGACGTCTCGTTCTCAGCTCCATTTTGAGATATTTATATATTTAATAAACGAAAAGATAGCCCTTAATGCCTTCTATCTTTTGGTTTATTAAACATATAAATATCTCAAAATGGAACTGAGAACGAGACGTCGAAAGTTTGAGGAGGGGGGAGGTGTTTATTGGAGGAAACTTCTGACGGACTTGACTTAAAGAACATCAATCAATAGCCTCAGTGAAATTACTGTAATAAATTAGCTGAAATTTAGCCAATGGATTTGATGAGTGCTCAGAGCATGCTGGCCGGAGGTCTAATGGGTCAAAATGGTCAAAACGCGGTCACTCCTGCCGACTTTGAGGCTCTTTTCCAAGCGTTCGCCCAAAGCGCTCAACAACAGGCTGGAGGTGAGGACGAAATCTTTGTGAATAGTTTCAAACAATTTTAGAAGAGTCAACCTGTATGCCGGAGATCATAAAAGGGCAAGAGATCGACATTGCCGCCTTGTTGGGATTGTGCGGGGAGAAAGAAGAAAAAGATGGATCACATGAAGATGGAGATGATGACGATGATGGAGAACCAAAAGAAGAAGAGGTAAGGGACATTGGGTAAAAAGCTTTACAATTTTTCTGCAAGAACAGGGCGTCTAAAGTTCTAGCTATGAAATCTTATCTAGCTAGGAAACAAATTACAAAAGACCCAGTCCCAACTTAAGACGCTTCATTCTCAGTCCCATTTTGCGATATTTTTAAGTTTAATATATCAAAAGATAGCCCTTAATCCCTTCTATCTTTTGGTTGATTAAACATACAAATATCTCAAAATGGAGCTGAGAACGAGACGTCTAAAGTTGGTCGAGGACTCGAGGTCGAGGTCGAGGTCGAGGTTGAGGACAACTTTAGACGTCTCGTTCTCAGTCCCATTTTGAGATATTTATATGTTTAATCAACCAAAAGATAGAAGGCGTTAAGGACTATCTTTTCGTAGATTAAACATAAAAATATCGCAAAATGGGACTGAGAATGAAGCGTCGGAAGTTGGTCGAGTGGGCATTTATTAGAGGACCAACTTTAGACGCCTCGTTCTCAGCTCCATTTTGAGATATTTATATGTTTAATAAACCAAAAGATAGAAGGCGTTAAGGGCTATCTTTTGATATATTAAACTTAAAAATATCTCAAAATGGAGCTGAGAACGAGACGTCTAAAGTTGGTCGAGGGAGGCGTTTATTGAAGGAGATAAATATTTCATTATTCAATTTCCAATCTTATCTAGCTATAAAAAAATTTACAGTAGTCTGTTTTTTGTTTTCTTTTTGTCATAGTAAAGTTTAGAAGGTCATTTTCCACAATTCATATCGAGCTTTTCACATTTTCACAATTTCAGAGTGCTCCATCGATTTCCCCACAAAGTGCCGACGATCAATCGATCAATTCCACTCCGAATTCACACGCGAATTTCATCTTTGCTTCGTAAAAACTGAGATTTCTTGTTCTTTAAAGTTTCTTTAAAGTTTCTTGAAGATTTGTCTCAAATTTCTTGAAAATCTTTTCACTTTTCCCGTAATCTCGTTAAGAATTGCAATATAATTCCCCGCAAAAATCTCTCTTGAATCTTTAAATTGAGATTCGATTTCTTCAAAAAGCCTTTTTTCCTACCCTAACTTTGTCTTCTTTTTTGTGTACCCTTTTATTTAAAAATCGAAAACTTTTGCTCAATTTCAATGGAGCTAATTTATTGCTACAGTAATTCGCTTGAAACGAAGTTTTACCGTAAGAAATTCAGATAAAGAAGATCAAGAAGATAAAGAAGAAGATAAAGAAGAAGATAAAGAAGAAGATAAAGCAGTAAATCAACAAGTAATCAGCAAGTAATCAACAGAGAAATCAACGAGTAATCAATAGAGAAATCAACCAGTAATCAACCAGTAATCAGCAAGTAATCAACGAGTAATCCATAGAGTAATCAATAGAGTAATCAACAAGTAATCAAGTAAATAAACAAACTAGTAAATAAAGAATTAATAAATGAATATCGGAATTGAATTTGCTAATGCTTGAGTGCTATTATCTGAATTTCTGAAAAAAAAACCAATATATAAACCAATAAATCTAGGTTTCTAGGGAAACCTCTCAAAAAACCCTGAAATTTCTGTGCATTTTGTCATATTGCCATTTTGTTCTTTTCAATTCTTCTCCCATTCTCGAGCCAAGTGTCAATTGCCCCAAACTCGAGCTTTCTTTTTTTTGTCAGAACAAAAGATTATTCGTTTTTTGTGTTGATGAAAAGTTGGGGAGTGAAAAAAAGCTGCTAGCGGGATCGAACCTTCGAGCCTCGAGCTCCCCCGTTCGTTTTCTAGACCGAGACCCTTAACCACTCGGCCATGGAGGCAGTCGGTCTAGCCCGTTAAAGTTTCCTTTTCACCCCCCTCCCCAACTTTTCCTCTATTTATTCAAATTTTCATTTCACTAGCTTTAGTTGGCAGTATTTTTTTGAAATTATTTATGAATTTTATGCTAATTTTGATTATTTCATTATTTCCTTTGTCAGTGCTAAGAAAAAAACGAAAAATGTGCTCATACGATGAAAATTCGCTCGCTTTTTCACCCGTTTTCGGGATCAAAATTGAACTTTTCCCTTCAACATCATCAATTTTCACGAATTTTTTTTGTCATTTTTGATGTTTTTGATCAAATTTTGTGTAAGATAAAGAAATTTTGTCGAATTTTCTCAAATTTCAAATTGCCCTTTACCAAATAATCGCAGTTTAGCCGCTTGGTAAACAGAGAAATCGTGCGTAAACGCAGAGCAAAGTGCACTAGAGGTTTTTGCTAGAGTTTGGCTTGAGAGAGAGCTTTTAAATGAAAGATAATTTAATGAAAATGCTTTTTCTTAAAGCAGACATGTTCTTTATAATGTACTGCTTTGTGCTTTGTGTTTAAAACCTGTAAACACATCTTTTTGGTGCACTGAGTTCCTCATTTTCTAGTGAAAGTACAAGAAAAAAAATCCAAATTTCACGATTTTCACGATTTTCACGATTTTCACGATTTTCCTAGGGTTTCATGAGTTGTCTGTTTGTCGAATTGTAAACTGTCATCTACATCAAAAATCGTACACAAATGGATTGAACTTGATGTCGATGTGAAGCAAATGGATAGGTGAATAGTCTTCTTTGCTATTGTATTTATCTTTGCTATTGGGTTGTCCAGTTATGAATGCCCGTTTTTATTATTTTGTAAATTTCTCAAGATATCGAACAGATTTAGATGAGTGTTATACATCATTCGAAAGCTCAAGATCTTCTCTACATTTTGATATAAAACGTTTTTGAATTTGTTCGATTTTTGGGCAAATTGACTGCACAAAGGGAGAGGTCGTTTTCGAAAAAAAACCCATTCTAGCATAGCTATTCCTCAAGTTTTATGGTGTAAAATAACCGCTCAGAAAAGAAAAGAAAAGTAAAGATGCTCTGAAATTGTTATATTTAAAAACAAGTTGTATTGATATATCTATTGGTCAAACATCAAACGGTTAACTCAATTTGAGCGAAGCCAAAACTTGATCCAAAGGCACCTCGGCTGGCTCTGAGTCCCGAGAGCTGGTTTTGAGTCCTGAGAGCTGGCTCTGAGTCCCGAGAGCTGGTTCTGAGTCCTGAGAGCCAAAACTTGATCCATTTTTTGACCACCTCTTCTTCTGTGCAGTCAATTTCCCAAAAAGTTGAATCAATTCAAAAACTTTTTATTCCAAAATGTAGAGAAGATCTTCAGCTTTCGAATGATATATAACACTCATCTAAATCTGTTCGATATCTTGAGAAATTTACAAAATAGTAAAAACGCGCATTCATAACTGGACAATCCAATACAAAAGGACAGCATTTTAAGGCCAGTTTTTGATGAATGATGTATCAGAATGGCTTATCTTTCGATTTTTCAACCTTAAACCCTTAAAATCGACAAATCCAAAAAGTAGGTAAGGAATCAAAAAATGAAAAATGAAAAATGAAACATCATGAAACATGAAATCATGAAACAAAAAATTTAGAATTCTTTCAAAACTATTTTAAACGATAGCCCTTTATCCAAAGCGTACAAAAAACACGTTTAAAAGTGAAATTTCTCTTACCCGGGACTCCCTCCAAAAAAATCTCCAAAAAAAATCCATGTTGGTCCCCAGTTATCATTTTTTTTACAAAATGATTTTTCTATTTTTTCAAAAATAGCTTTTTAAACTTAATTGCCGATAGAATATTAATAGGTTTTAGGCTTAGATCTATTCATTTTAGACCTCCATTTTAGACCCTGTAGTGATTATTGTTGGTTTAGATATAATCTTTATTACAGAAATAATAGTTGGTTCAGTGGTTTGACATTGGGAGAGTAGAGGCACTCCACGGCACACACGCACCTCGGCAGCTCGTTCACATTGCTTTTATACGGAACTCGGGCGTTCGTCTCGTCTTCCACACAATGGAGTTGAACGGATAGCGACACATATTAAATCTAGCACAATAGGCGTTCGTCCCCATAGGTGTCTAGCTGGCCATTTCCATACGTGGCAATCTCGATCACGAGATCGTCACGACAGACCCCTACAAGGGAGTCTAAAGTCAGTTTATCGAGGAATTTGTTATAACTTTTTGCTATAACAAAAAAAATGTTATAACTTTTTGTAGAGTTGAGCAAATTTGATGTTTTTTGCATCAAAATGTTCGTAAGAGTCTCTAGAATAAAAGTTATCCCTTCGTTTTTGGTTCTAGACCCTCGTTGTCGAGTTACGAGCCCCAAACTGCAGGGTACCACAAAATTTCCCATACAAAATGACCAAAAAGCCGCTAAAACTAAATTGAAAAAATTTCTGTCAGAGGGATTTGAAAAATTCCTTCAGATTCGGAATCAGCACAATTTTCCGCATCTAAAAAAGGTACTCCCAGAAAAATCCGATAGAAAACGCATCTTATTTTGCGCCGATGTCCGGTGTCATTTAGAGTGTGTTCCTCGCGTTTTTTTAAAACGCACACTTAGGAAAAATTACCGTACTTTTAGCGAAAAGCGAAAAGCGAAAATTATTGCAAAAAATTGACGCAAAAATCACGAGCGCCGCCTTACATACGTCTCCTTTTAAAGATATTCAACCGTTCAACTGATTTGGTGGGAAATTCCCCATCAAATGTAAAGATATTCAATTTACTCGACGTGTAAAGAGGATTTACTCGTAGTTACTCGACAAAAACTCGGATAATCGAGTACTTTTACTCGATTAATCGAGTAAAAATGACTCATCCAATTACTTTAATAGAATGACACTAGAGCGTGTTCCTCGCGAGTAAGTAATTACTCGCGAGGAACAGATTCTAATATCATTCTATTAGAGGATGCCATTTTAATACAGCATTTAGGTTAAAGTCTTTATAAAAGATCAAAATAAGCCTAGAAATCATAAAAACGATCCGGCTGTGGTGAAAAGCCACTGAAACGTTACCTAACAACAACAACAACAACAACAACAACAACAACAACAACAACAACAACAACAACAACAACAACAACAACGCCCAGATTGAATCACCGTGGACAACAGTGAACAACGTCAATGCTGTCAAATTGGTTCATCGTTTTGTCCACACTAGCGCAAAGATGTGAAAAGTGTGGAAAGTTGCTAGGAGAAAAATGTACTGGAAAAACAAGATCGATTGTGAGAACAAAACGAGGGACTAATTTGATGCGCGTCACATCACACGTGTCACACGATCACACGATGCGCGTGCACGAATGATACACAGAATTGCTGTCGCACGATGAAGAGAAGAAAATCGACTCAAGGGTATATTCCTGGAAAAAAACAAGATGTGGAAACATGCTCGTGTCTTCTTTTTTCTATAGTCTTGTCTCCTAGTCGGGGGGTTAAGGGTTCGATCCCGGCGGCTAGAAAGATCGCTTCTTTTTCCCATTATGGGAAAAAGAAGCAATGTATGGGTTTTTTCTTAAAAACACTTGGGTAATAGGGGTAATTAGGGACAAAAATTTCCTTCGTTGTGTTGTAATTCATTATTCGTGTCGAATAAATATACTTGACCATGACTCCGGCTGGAGTCATTTGGAATCTACCTAAGTAGTGTAGATTCCAAATGTGCCGTCCTCCTTTAAACAAATGCCGTCCCCGTTTAAAAAATGATGAACTGATTGCAGTCAAAAAAAAAAAATGATGCACAACATTGTGTCAATTATTTTTGTGTGAACAGTTGGCTTTCGAAAACTGGTTTTTTTTCAATTCAAACCTTTGGATTAAAGGGTTTTAACGGGTCACCATTATTCTGAAATTTCTTTTATATTCTTTTTTTGTAAAGAAAATGTTTTCTAAAAGACATCAATTTTAGAAATCTACCGTAAACAGCCAATTTTCATTCAATCAGTCGATTTTTTTTTGATTGATTCCTCATCGAAACATACAAAAATGGGGTTTTTGAATGA